CTTGAGCGACCCGAATTTATCAAATTTCAACACGTACTCTTCAATTACACATGAGATCTTTCTAGCATACACATAGGGACCATGCCACTTAAGAACACTCCGCAGGAGATAACCCACCTGCTTCACCTCAATTTAGTATTTCAGCACACCTTCCATCGACATACACATAACACAGTCATTTAGTCTTCCTGAGTCTGAACTCATACCGCCACACGTAATGCACTTCACTCCCCAGCTAGGAGACACAAAAATATTCTTCACGCGCCCATAACTCGGACTACACATCAAATCACAACAGGAATCGAACACTTAACAGCTCATCTATTATTCAGCAGACTCCTTCGTCACTACCAAGATCACATGGATACATCTCGCAGTACTAACATACTCATCATATGGATATCCAACCGCCATTCCGGCTAATAAGGACAATACTGAACATATAAGTTCAAAACAGTTGCTCATACAATCAGCACCTCAGTGCTTAAGCCATAGGCAAAGATCCGGCCTCAAGTCCTCCAGACTGGCCCAACATCAAACTCACGGAGATTACATCTCGCCCCTTGATCGGGGAATCACTAGCCATCAAGGCACATACAGAACTGAGCGCTCGCATGAGCATACAGACGTGTGAAAGGAATTTCAAGAGTTATATCTCAAGCTGAATCAAGTACGCACGATAAGAATTCCAAGAAAGTGAAGTTTTCCTAGAGGTTCTGCAGCCTCTCGAGGATAAATACAGACGTCTCCGTACCAATCCGCGAGAATCTACTAAACCTGCTCATGACTCGTGAGACCTAGTAACCTAGGCTCTGATACCAACTTGTCACGACCCAATTTCCATACCCGGTCTTGATGGCGCCTCTCGTGAAGACAAGGCCAGCCAACTAACCCAATCCGTTTCTTTAACAATTATTAAACATAAATGTATAGATAAATATAGCTTAACGACAATAATAACCAGTATGTACAACCCAACACAACCCGACCGGGGTGTCACAAGTCACGAGCATCTAAAGAAATCTGAACACAACTACAGGGCCAATAATAATATATAAGGAAAAATCCTGGAAATCAAAAGACAACATCTGGTGCCGCGAACGCTGGCGGTTACCTTACTCAGCTACAATAGCCATACCTTCAATCAGCTAAATAACCCGCTACCGGGTGTACAATACCTGCAACTGCACGCGAGGTGCAGGGAGTAAAGTGAGTACTTCCAACTCAGTGGTAATAAGAGTAAATAATAACTGAGCGGTAAGAAATCACGTAAAAGCACTCCATCATGCTATATAAGACAGTACAACCCTTAGGGAAAACAGTAAAACCGTGAAAATCCTTTAGAAAATATCTGGCTCAGTTTAAAACCTCTTTTGAAAATATCTTTTTCCAACAATCAAGCAAATGAATGCGTAATCAGATAGTGCAAGTCCGCACATAAGTCAGCCCCTCGGCACATCACTCCACAAACAATTAACACCAGGGCGTCTGGTAAGCAGTACAAGAAGTAGCATGGATGCCAATGATATGAGAGTGCTGAATTTCATGACACGTAGTACAAACAGGAACCAATGCATGAATACAATGCAATGCATATGAGCGCTGCGGCGCGCAGCCCGATCCATTTGGGTACCCGCGCTCACTGTGGGGGTTCAGACTCCGGAAGGGCTCCTACAGCCCAAGCGCAATATCAATATCACACCGCTGCGGCGCGCAGCCCGATCCATCCTCAGTCTAGAAATGCACATAAGCCCCTTGGGCAATAGTAAAATAGCAGTCTCAACTCAAAACGTCAGTAAAATATCATTTAGGTTTTCAAATCTTAGAGAGATAGCTGAGTTTGCGAAACGTTATTTTAAACCATGGACTGTGATAAAATAATATGCAAAGTAATGCAAAAACAGTGATATCAATCCCTGAAGGATTCAAACAATTGGCACGAAGCCCAAATATAGCAATCAAACCAAATAATGATGATAACAAGTAGTTTCAAGTCAATTACGACAATAAAACCANAAGTGGCAACTCTGAAATTGAATAAAATAATCCTGTTTCGGTTATTTTCACTTTAATTGGAAAAACTCCCTTATACCCCTTTCGGGATGATAAAAAGGAGGTGTGACACCGGTCCTTTTGAGTTTAGATCCTGCTGCATGCTGACCGGAGTTGTCCATTTAACCTCTGGTGCTCTGCTATCTCCACTACGAGTTGGTAAGGTTGGCCATATCTCCAGATTCGTTGTTGCATGTGCCTTTCCTTTGCTTATTGATGCTTCCTCAATCGGTTTCCTTTCCTCAGTAATGTTATTTTCCTTTGTCCCAGCTTTGAGCAATGGAATAGTAGCAGCACCTCCAATTACTAGAGGTTTTGGTGTTACTGTTCTCACAAATTCTGAATTCCTTCCTTCCATGGATCTGTTATCTTCCTCAGCTAGCTGTTTCGAAGTTTTTGATGGTCGTCCTCGTGCTCTCCCCACTCCGGTGGGTGCAAGTTAGCAGTACACGCTAAAGTGCGCCGAGAGAGAAAGAGAAGAGTAATTGAGATTCCTTCATACTTAACTAAATGTATTGTATTAGAGTTCTGTATATAGAGAACTTTCCGGTAAAGAACACTTTAATCCCTTAGTGGACTTAGGAATATGAGTTTAAATTAACAATCGAATAAATTTTTAATATCAAATAATTTAATTAAAAATATTAAAATATAAGGAAGCATAAGGAAGAATCAATGCTCAAGGAGAAAACAGCATATTGTTTTAGCCTAGTGTCGGTGCATTGATAGAGTGTAATGTAAAGAAGAAAATACTTTAGGAGGTAAATGACTTTCACAATAGTTAAAGGGTTGCAAAGTGCAAAATGACACAATATGATGACCAAACGACATCGTATACAAAGGAAGAATGAAGTCACTTTTTTCGCACCGTTGCAAAAATTCAAAGTGATAAAGACGTCCAATTCAAAATCAAATTCTAGTAAATCTTCAAACCCCTAATAATAATACCCAAAAAATTTCCCCGCCAACACCACCCACCCATATGGCACTTTCTGCCCCGCCACCACCGCTAGATCCTCCGTCAACCACCACAACAACCACCATAACCACTAGCACCATAAGACCAATTATCCCAAACCCTATAAGACCACCCACCCCTCAACCTCAACCTCACCCTTTTTCCCTCCAATCTTCTCACTACCCACCTACCCAAACCCAACCACCCCAACGCCTACCACCCCCCTCCAATCCTAATTACTCTCAATTAGTACCAAAACCTCCTAATAATCCCGACCCACCACATCATCTTCAAGGCTTTCTCTACCCAGTTGCTTCCTCCGGCCGCGGTTTTTTACCCAAACCTAGTACTAGTAATTACCCCAATCGCCCAGTTGTTGGCTCTCGACCACCTTTTGGGCTCAATCATATGGATCTGGGTTCGGTTCAGACCGCTGGTGCGGGTGTTAGACCGACCCATTTGCAACACACCCTTGTTGGGTCGTCTCCTACTGCCAATTCAGCTGTAATTAATGGATTTCCAGTTGTCACTTCTTCTTCGCATCCTAAGGTTCTTTTTCTTTTCGTAATTTTTGTTTTATGCTCACTTTTATTAGCTTGATAATTGACACTGATTCTTGGTATGGAGAGATCTCTGCCATAAAGAGAGCTCCTAAATGCATTGTATTACTATCTTGTCATCTAGCTTAATCCGTTAAAAAGATTTGCCCATTCTGAAGCGGGCATAATTTCTTACAGAAGCTCTTTAGATTAGTTGTGATTAACTGAAGAGTTGAGAAGTGACGTCCCCAAATATTTGCTACAAGTAACAATAGGTTTTATTTAAGTGATTAGATTTCTGGTATTCGTTATTTGAATATTATGTCCTAACGCTTCACCTAGATTATCTCCTATTAGCATAGTGGTTTTCTTTATTTTTAAGAGGAAAGCTTTTACCTGCACCCTTCAATGCTTTGCCGTTAATTTTTTTTAATTTTTTTATTTATTTAACATCATCATCACTGCCTCACTTTGCTGTTAATTTACTATGAAAGAGTTACCACAGGATTCACCCTAATGTTATGGAAAGTTCAACGTCTTCATAAAGATAATTTTAATCTTACTTCTCGAACCACTATATTAGAATACATGAATAGTTTTACTACATATGCCAGGTCAAAGGAAACAATAACAACAACTACGTCTCAGTCTCAAAACAAGTTAGGTTGGTAATATGAATCCTCATTTATTTCTTTAAGCTCAACTCATATCATCATCATTACAAAAATAAAGTAAAAGTGAAACATATATATATATATATATATATATATATATATATATATATATATACAGAGAGAGAGAGAGAGAGAGAGAGAGAGAGAGAGAGAGTGTTTCTCTACCAAGTCTAAGACCTATTCCCAACCAGTAGGTCTCACCTAGTTGGGTCTTTTCGTTGTGCCTCATCTTAAGATAAGTCTGCATTGGTTTCAAGAATGTGTAGGACTTTTGGGATAGCTTCCTTCCATGTGATTTTAGGTCCATCTTGTTCCCTTTTAACATCTTCGCTCACCATAGTTTCTCACCTATGAACCAATACATTTGTAGGTCAGGACATGACCAAACCATCTCAAGTGACTTTCTCTCATTTTATCCTCAATTTGTGCTATTTGCACCTCCTGGCGAATGTGATCATTATCCATCTTATCTAATTTCGTGTGACCACACATCCATCTTACTTAGCATTCCTATTTCTGCAATGCTCATCTTGTAGATTGTTGGACTTTAGCAGCCTAACATTCACTACCATATTAACATAGCCAGTTTTATAGCCGTTCTATAGAACTTACCTTTCACCTTGGTAGGCATTCTTCTACCATATGACACCCAAGTAGGCGGTAGCACTTCTTCATTTCAACCATATGGTTTTAATCCTATGAGTAACATCTTCATCTACCATTCCATTCTCTTGAAACAATGAGCCTATATATATATAAATTGTTTGCATACCAGGAATCACATAAATTAGGATCAAGGAGGTATGAGCTTGACCTTTTATGAATGATATTGACCACGATTGATGACACCAAAGAACTTGCAGAATCGAAAAAAAAAGGAAAAAGCAAAAACGAAAAAAAAAAGAAAAGAAGATGAAGGTTACCAAAAAAAAAAAAAAAAGGTACTCATGAGTGTCAACCTAGCACAACGACAAATTCTTTGCTTACGAACTCTAACATATACATAACCACTAGTCTTGTCAAATTTTATCTTCTCTGCCAGATCAATCTTTATATAGATACCTTTGGACTAAAAAAGAAGAAAAAGAAGAGCAAGCAACAACCAAAACATAGGGAAGAAAGAAGTGCTTTATCATACACGCTAACACGTTTTGAGGATATATGAATATGTGCTGATATAAACAATTGGATTTGTAGCATCCATCGCTGCACTAAACAAACTTCATGATGGCATCCATGGACAATATAACTTGACTTCTACAAAATGATTTAGGCATCAAGTTTGCAAATGGCTTGAGATTTTCGTAAAATTAATTTGTTCAAGTCAACTTCCCTTTGCATTGGATCAGAAGAATAACATGCTTCCTATCTTAGGTGGTATTTTGATTTGAGAACTTTTTGGTTTTTGTTTCCTTTTTAGAGATCAAAATATATTTTCTCTTTTTTGGCTGCAAAGTAATTGTGAGTGTCTGGATCTGAATATAGAAGAATTGGTTTTGGGATTGTTTTGGGAGAATTGGTGTTGGGTTTGTCTTTTGGAGATAAGACTAAAGCTGTAAAAGATTTGCTGCGACTTTTATATGGGGAAACTTTAATATTTTATTGATGGCCAAACCTCTTTAGATACAACTATATGTGTTTTCAAGTTTTAAAAAGATGTAGGATGAAGAAAAAAAGGAATTTCAAGATGACCGAGAAAAAACAATTTGGGGCTCAATTCATAATTAAGAGAAAGAAGAGAAGAGATAAAGAAAGGGGATAAGAGTTTACACCTTGGGACTGGGTCCCTTTTTGGCTCACTAAGTTTTGAGAAAAATACAAGCCAAAGCTTGTTTTTGGTTTTCAGAAGAGAACTTGGTTAGTTGGTTTGTTTTCTGTTAAACAAACTAAGTTGTTTTTTTCTGTTATCTAATCCTAGCAACTCCTCTCTCTGCCTGCGGCTTCGTTTCACTGCTTTGTGGCAGTACTCACCTGCAGATTAAACTGAGTGACGTATCTCAGTAATGCAGTTTTGAAATTTTAAATGAGACATTCTTTTAATGTGTTCCATAGATCTATTTTAGCTTTCTCTCACAATTTTGTCACCTTCTGTTGTCTTCTAATCCTGTTTACTATTATATTTCTGCATCCAGATTGCTCCTACTCAGCCTTCCATTTCAGATTGCAATGGCTTCAGAGAGGGGAGGTAATGTTGGTTTTGCTTCATCTTGTTTCCCTTATATGTTTGATATGGCAATTCTTAGAGCTCTATATTTTCGAACGGTAGGGAAAGAAGTAAGGATGACACCTTTGCTATAATCAGAGACAGAAAGGTAAGTGTCTATCTTGTCGTTTATTTTGATTTATGAAATTACTTGCCGTGTTTGTTGTTGTTGATGTCTGACATGACCCTCATTTTTTTCGATGGCGGTGATGTCCGAGCCATCTTGCACGCACCTTGACTATTCCATCGGGCATTTGCTACCTCCCACTAGCACAAGTACTGGTAACTTTGCCACCAAGGCTAGGGCAGATGAGAAGATATCACCTACTATTTTTTGCCTCCGCTTGAATTTGAACTTGAGATCTCATGGTTCTCCACCCACTTCATTGACTACTAGGCCACACCCTTGGATTTTTGACAGATGGAAGTCATTAAAATTATTTCCCATCCTAAAAAATAAGTAGAAAAGGAAAAAAACGTGTTAGAGTTTGACTATCTGGCGACTATTTTATCACCTCTCTTTCATGCAGTTGTGAATATAACTGTTACTCGAATTCTCTAAATATGTTTCCGAATATGTGTCTGATCCTCCAAAGTAGTGCATTTTTGGATGATCTGCGAGGGTACGACATCATTTATGGAGAGCCGCACAACATACTATATAATGCGATGCCTAGCTTCTAAAAACGTTATGGAAAAGGCCCTCAATAATGACATTGTTTTGGCATCCTTTCAATCATCACACTTCTTTGTAATCCAGCGGAGGTGCAACCAAATAAAATTTAGTTGTGAATAATGTTAGTATTGGGGATCGGGCCTCAAGAGTGTGACCTAGTGGTCAATCAAGTAGATTGAGAACCATGAAGTCTCAGGTTCAAATTCCAGCGATGGCAAAAACACTAGGTGATTTCTTCTTATCTATCCAAGCCTTGGTGGATAGAGTTACCCGGTACCTATGCTGGTGGGAGATAGTAGGTACTTCATGGAATTAGTCAAGGTGCGTCCAAGCTGGCGCGGGCACCACGTGGTTATTGAAAAAAGAAGTTAGTATTGGGGATTAGGTACTGGATGGATTATCTCTATGCATTTATGGTATTTGGTAGCCAACGCCAACTAGTTTGGGATTGCAGGTTGTTAATTGATTTGTGGTGTTGGTTCTTTCCCTCCAATGAACTTCTAAAACTTGTTAATCTTTTTGTGATATGTAACGTTTTACTATGCAATTATAAGAGACTTTTTTCTTGCAGAAATTCTCTGAATTTCTCTCATTTATTTCAGTGGTTTTTCCTATTTTTGTTTTATATGGTAGTTTTGTCTATGGCTAGAGATGCAATGTGGCATTATGCATCTGTTTTCTTAATTTGCAGCCCATTACTGATGAGATGAAATTTTTACTTATCTCTGGAGATGGCGTTCTTACAGTTTTAATTGGATAACCTAGAGCGTGTGTCCTTTCTATATTAAATTGCTGCTGCCTTGAGATGAATTATGTACAACTTAATTGCAACTAAAAAAGGCAACTACCTTCTTGACTTGACAGAACACCAAGGTTCTCTTATGAGTTTTACCCAATCTCATATCTGTTGTTGATCGTTCGACCTGTGAGGCCGTTTTGATTAGTTCTTCGGCGCACTGGGGGTCTTTGTGGTTTAGCATGAGCCTCATTGTAGAATTCACTGCTGAACTATAGATTAACGGAAAGACGAAATGGGTTTGCTGTCTAGTAGTACTGTGAAAGATGTGCGTTCTACCAAAAGGTTCATTTATACAACATCTTAACTGTATATTTCAAGCAGTGTTTTAAATAGTGCTCGCCTCAGCTCTAATAGCGTGAGGTGTGTCATGGGCGGCTTTCCAGCCATGCCCCATGACCCCTTGGGCGCGCCCCGTGGCGTCCTAGCAAACCTCCCAATGCGTAGCGCCACGGACGGCCCCGTGGTCTTGGCCGCGCCAAGTGACAAGCGCGCAGGTGCCTCTGTCGCCCCACCGATATCCCTCGCGAGCGCCAAGCCGCAGACAGAAGCCAACAGCGCCGCGCGCGCAGACAACGCCGCGCGCGCAGACCGTGATGCCAAAGACACTGCTGCTGACAACGGACCTGCTGCTGCCTTATAGAAAACTAAGTCATTTTCATTGTAAATATAGAGTAGTTTTATTTCATGTACTTCCATTATGTTTCTCTAGCTTAGTCAAGTCTAGTCTTGTAACTTTGGATTATTTTTTTTAAGTACTATTAGGGGGGATCAAGCAATCAAAACTTTCTAGCAAGCAAACAATTCTCTGTACTGGTGTCTCTCCCCCTCGACACCGCGTTGCTTTTCTGTAATAGCTTTCATTAATGCAATCAAGCTTTCTTTCATTCTGAATTCTCATTTCTGTTCTCTCAATTGCTCTTGACATTGGTTTTCCCGTACGGCACTGACAATCTCGCCTAGCGTACGGAGGGGACCTCAGTTGGCGGACAGCAACTGCACTGACATCAGTTGCCTAGCCTTACGTCGCCCTTCCAAGGAATCTCAGAAAGGCGCCACGTAACAATTGGTATCAGAGCCTAGGCTCGACATCGGACGAGGGAACGTATTGACATACCACCATTTCTGACCATGGTGAATCATGGGGACCGCATTGCGGCCCTCGAAGGGACGATTGAGGTATTGCGGCCTATTGTGGATACGGTGCCTGATCTAAGAACCAGCCTACTGCAAAGGTTGGACGGCCTGAACCGCAGGGTGCTTCAGGTCGAAGTTGACGTTGAAAACATCAGTCGCGACTCCGAGGGAGACCGGCAGACGGCAGCCACAGAGGCAGCCGAAATCTTTGAGAAATTCGAGGGGCTCCAACAGGAGCGCACCGAGGATTAAGCCCACAGGGCACAAGAGGCAGAAAAGGTGACTGCCATGCAACAAACCATTGACAAATTGACAGACCAACTCAATGTTGTCAACGCTGCTTTACAGGGCCTACTCCGAGGAGGTGGAAACCAAATCGGAGGTGCTGTGAACTCCGCTTCCGCGACAAAGAAACTGAAAATTCCTGAGCCAAAGCCATACAGTGGAGCTAGGAATGCCAAGGAAGTGGAAAACTTCATCTTTGACGTCGAACAGTATTTCGATGCTGTTGGGGATCTGGAGGAAGCTAAGAAGGTAGCAACTGCTGCCATGTATCTTCAGGGTGATGCTAAACTCTGGTGGCGTGTGAAGTACGAAGCCATCAAGGCCGGTGAAGATGCTCTCGAGACATGGGCCGAACTGAAGGCAGCTATACGCCTGCAGTTCTTCCCCGAGAATGTTGAATATAGTGCAAGGAGAAAACTACGGGAGCTCCGCCAGACAAAATCAGTGCGGGACTACGTGCGAGAATTCTCCGCACTCATGCTCAGCATACGCGACATGGGGGATAAGGACAAACTCTTCACCTTCATGGAAGGGTTGAAACCTTATGCCCGCGTGGAGCTACAGAGACAAAGGGTAGATTCCCTTCCCAAGGCAATCCAAGCAGCTGAATGCCTTGGGGACTATCAAATGGAAGCTCGAAGGGACAGGCCTCAGCCGCCTGCCCGAGCAGGGTTCAAAGGGGGCCAGCCTAGCAGTGGTGGTCCTAGCAAAAATGGGGGAGATCGGAACTCAAACAAATCTAGAGCTCCTTCCTCCAGCAGCAACAGTGCTGCGTCAAACAACAATGATCGGGCGAGAAAGCCTCCTTCAGGATGCCGTCATTGCGGCGGTCCACATTGGAACAATGAGTGCCCACATGCACAGATGAATGCCCATCAGGCTATTGATGATGGGACTGATGATGACTCAGACGATGCGGACCAAACTGAACCAGTAGGTGCCTTCAATGCAATTGTGGGTTCCATTTCTGAGGCACTAGCGGAGACCAGTGCTGGTATTCGTAAGAAGAAGGACTCATGTCCCGTTACCAGGAAAGGGAAAAAGAAGGCGAATGAAGAGACTCCTCTTAAACAAGAGAGGACCTTAATGTTCGTCGAGATGAAGGTGAATGGCAAGCCCATTCAGGCTATGATAGACACGGGTGCTACCCACAACTACTTAGCCTCGACTCAGGTGGAGCGCCTTGGACTAGTTGTAGGGAAAGGTAAAGGTAGCGTCAAGGCTATCAACTCACCTCCCCAGCCAGTGGGTGGAATAGCTAAAGAAGTACCGGTGAAGCTTGGGCCTTACGAAGGAAAATTCAACCTGCGAGGGGTGATCATAGATGACTTCGAGTTGATTGTTGGGCTGGAATTCCTAAGGCAAACCAACACCATGCCTGTACCATTTGCAGACATGCTACTGATGATGGGTACCAATAGGGCCAAGCCCTGCATTATCCCGTGCCTGCCCATGAAGGTGGCCGTTGAGAACATCTCGGCCTTGCAGTTGAAGAAGGGGGTCAAAAGGAATTAACCTACGTTCCTGGCAACCCTCTGCATTGAAGATATAGAACGCTCCTCGGGTCCCATTCCTGAACCCGTGAAGGAGTTACTACTGGAGTTTGAAGATGTCATGCCACAAGACATGCCAAAGCGGCTCCCGCCTAGGCGCACTGTGGACCATGAAATTGAGTTGGTGCCGGGCGCGAAGCCACCTGCCCGGGCGCCTTACAGAATGTCACAACCCGAACTCACCGAGCTTCGGAGACAATTGACGGAAATGCTAGATACAGGGATCATTGTACCCTCCAAGTCCCCATATGGGTCCCCTGTTCTATTCCAAAAGAAACATGATGGCAGCCTGCGACTCTGTGTGGATTATCGAGCTCTAAACAAAATCACCGTGAAGAACAAGTACCCTATTCCCCTAATGGCGGACTTGTTTGATAGACTGGGTGGTGCTACGGTGTTCACCAAGATAGATCTGAAGACAGGTTATTGGCAAGTTCGGATTGCAGAGGGTGATGAACACAAGACGACTTGTGTGACAAGATATGGGTCGTACGACTTCCTGGTCATGCCATTCGGCTTGACCAACGCCCCTGCTACGTTTTGCACTCTCATGAACCAAGTCTTCCGAGAGTACATCGACGAATTTGTGGTGGTCTACTTAGATGACATTGTGGTATATAGCCAGACATTGGAAGAACACCTAGTACACTTGCGGAAGGTCCTAGCTCGGTTGCGGGAACATGAACTATATGCAAAGTTATCCAAGTGCTCCTTTGCTCAGAAGCAAATTGATTTCCTCGGACATGTCATCGAGGAAGGACGCATCAAGATGGACCAACAGAAAATCCAGGCCATCACAGATTGGCCGCCACCTAAGGATGTCCACGCCTTGAGGGCGTCCTTGGCCTATGCAACTTCTACCGGCGGTTTGTGAAGAACTACTCACTTATCGCAGTGCCATTGATAGAACTCCTCAAAAAGGTCACACCTTGGAATTGGGGACCAAGGAGAGCAGAGGCCTTCAACGTATTAAAAGCGGCTATGTCTAGTAGTCCCGTCTTGGCCCTTCCTGATTTGGCCAAGCCGTTCGAGGTACAAACAGATGCTTCTGACTATGCCCTCGGCGGAGTCTTGCTACAAGAAGGGCACCCTGTAGCGTACGAGAGTCGGAAGCTGAAGGATGCAGAGCGGCGCGTACTGCCGCCCATGAGAAAGAATTATTGGCTGTCGTCCACTGCTTGCGCCTCTGGAGGCAGTATCTGCTGGGAACCCCTTTCGTGGTCAAGACAGACAACACAGCTGTTAGCCATTTCATGACCCAGCCGAAGCTGAACGGTCGACAGGCCAGGTGGCAGGAACTCCTAGCTGAATTCCACTTCAACTTGGAGTATCGCAGTGGAAAGACCAATCATGTTGCTGATGCGCTCAGTCGGAGAGCTGATCTAGCATCGGTGTGCCTACTCGCCACCCTAAGGGGGAGCGAAGTAGCCACATCCATCAAGGACCAAATACGGGATCTACTCATCAAGGATCCTGCTGC